AGTGCACAAACATAATAATTTTTCATACACACACACACACACACACATTACAACCTCTTCAGTTTAACAATAGCTGTCCTCCGCTGGAAGGGGGTGTACACCACCTTCTATTTAATGGCTTGTGCCATTTGTTACCGGGTCTTCACGGGCGTTCTCTTCTGAAGGAAGAACAGAATCCCAATTAGTTCAGTGAACGTATGTTGTGGTGTGATAGCGATCGCATGATTTCAACTTACTCTGGTACTCTCCTCCGCCGCTCGAGACCCGGAGGCGGCAGTGGGAGGAGCAGGACCGGGACTGGCAGGAGCAGGACCGGGACTAGCAGGAGCCTGTGGTTCAGCGGGTAAAGGTGCGGGAGCAGCCGGCTCGTCTTTTGATGAGCACCCCTCTATTAGTGAGAGGCAGACAAAAAGCTGCCGGATCTCTCTTGCCCAGGAGACGTTCTTGTGTAAGGCATAGAACCTCTCCTGGGTGTCCACGTTGTGGCACATGAATTTAGAGAGGTTCTCCCGCACCTCCGGGTTGTTCTCCTGAAAATTCTACAGCAAAGAAAATGAGACTTGCATCAGTATGAATACACGCGCATGAAATTGATTGTGTTTGGTGTTTGTGATACTCACGTAGGTGGACACAGCCGTTCGTATGTCCATGATGGTAGGGTACCCCTTGAGTCCCATCTCTTTCCAGGCTTTGCTGAAATAACGGGCCATGTCTTTCGCCTCCCCACGGCCAAGAGACAAAAAAAATAGCCGTTCCTGGCAACGGCTCTGTCTCTCAGCCTGAGCCAGGTCTGGAACCACGAAAATTCTTCGGGCTCTAAGTAGATTTGGGCGGTTATTTCCGGGCAGTCTTGTGCTCGAGGACCTGCAGAAGACCAAGTGTGACAGAAACCGGAGGGGTCAGTCAATGGTAAAAAAAAATTAAATTAAATTTTAAAAAGAACTTTGAAGACAACAGATTAGCCGGCATTGAAAATATCATTAAAAGATCCCCAACATAAAAAAAACACCCAAAAGAGAAGCAGGTTAGCCCTTAAACAAAAGAAGAAGGTGAAATAAGGTTAAAAAAAAGTGTTGGGTTAGCAGAAAACGCCAAAGGTGCTTACATTGATTAGATAACCTGTCTGGTCGACACCTATGGCCTGCCGGACCTCCTTGACACTCATGCGGGTGAGGACCCCCGTCCGGTGGCCATAAATGACAGACAGGTAGGCTGCGAGGTAGCCAAATAACCTGTAGCGGGTCTTGGGGTCCCTCGCCGTCGCCTTCTCAATGTCCTCTGAAACGACGGATGAAGATAGAAGAGAACAATGAGATTGGTAGATTCCGTGGCACCGCTGACAAAAGGCTTACGAGAGGCGGAGAGGCGTGACGGACTCACCGAGCAGAGAGGGGATTTTCTCCCGAGCAAGGAGCTGACAAAGGCAACAGAGCCTTTAAAAGTACCCCAAAATGGGCATTCTCTTCTGAAGGAAGAACAGAATCCCAATTAGTTCAGTGAACGTGTGTTGTGGTGTGATAGCGATCGCATGATTTCAACTTACTCGGGTACTCTCCTCCGCCGCTCGAGACCCGGAGGCGGCAGTGGGAGGAGCAGGACCGGGACTGGCAGGAGCAGGACCGGGACTAGCAGGAGCAGGACTGGGACTAGCAGGAGCAGGACCGGGACTAGCAGGAGCCTGTGATTCAGCGGGTAAAGGTGCGGGAGCAGCCGGCTCGTCTTTTGATGAGCACCCCTCTATTAGTGAGAGGCAGACAAAAAGCTGCCGGATCTCTCTTGCCCGGGAGACGTTCTTGTGTAAGGACTAGAACCTCTCCTGGGTGTCCACGTTGTGGCACATGAATTTAGAGAGGTTCTCCTGCACCTCCGGGTTGTTCTCCTGAAAATTCTACAGCAAAGAAAATGAGACTTGCATCAGTATGAATACACGCGCATGAAATTGATTGTGTTTGGTGTTTGTGATACTCACGTAGGTGGACACAGCCGTTCGTATGTCCATGATGGTAGGGTACCCCTTGAGTCCCATCTCTTTCCAGGCTTTGCTGAAATAACGGGCCATGTCTTTCGCCTCCCCACGGCCAAGAGACGAAAAAAATAGCCGTTCCTGGCAACGGCTCTGTCTCTCAGCCTGAGCCAGGTCTGGAACCACGAAAATTCTTCGGGCTCTAAGTAGATTTGGGCGGTTATTTCCGGGCAGTCTTGTGCTCGAGGACCTGCAGAAGACCAAGTATGACAGAAACCGGAGGGGTCAGTCAATGGTAAAAAAAAATTAAATTAAATTTTAAAAAGAACTTTAAAGATAACAGATTAGCCGGCATTGAAAATATCATTAAAAGATCCCCAACATAAAAAAAACACCCAAAAGAGAAGCAGGTTAGCCCTTAAACAAAAGAAGAAGGTGAAATAAGGTTAAAAAAAAAGTGTTGGGTTAGCAGAAAACGCCAAAGGTGCTTACATTGATTAGATAACCTGTCTGGTCGACACCTATGGCCTGCCGGACCTCCTTGACACTCATGCGGGTGAGGACCCCCGTCCGGTGGCCATAAATGACAGACAGGTAGAATGCGAGGTAGCCAAAGAACCTGTAGCGGGTCTTGGGATCCCTCGCCGTCGCCTTCTCAATGTCCTCTGAAACGACGGATGAAGATAGAAGAGAACAATGAGATTGGTAGATTCCATGGCACCGCTGACAAAAGGCTTACGAGAGGCGGAGAGGCGTGACGGACTCACCAAGCAGAGAGGGGATTTTTTCCCGAGCAAGGAGCTGACAAAGGCAACAGAGCCTTTAAAAGTACCCCAAAATGGGCATTCTCTTCTGAAGGAAGAACAGAATCCCAATTAGTTCAGTGAACGTGTGTTGTGGTGTGATAGCGATCGCATGATTTCAACTTACTCGGGTACTCTCCTCCGCCGCTCGAGACCCGGAGGCGGCAGTGGGAGGAGCAGGACCGGGACTGGCAGGAGCAGGACCGGGACTAGCAGGAGCAGGACTGGGACTAGCAGGAGCAGGACCGGGACTAGCAGGAGCCTGTGGTTCAGCGGGTCAAGGTGCGGGAGCAGCCGGCTTGTCTTTTGATGAGCCCCCCCCTCTTAGCGAGAGGCAGACAAAAAGCTGCCGGATCTCTCTTGCCCGGGAGACGTTCTTGTGTAAGGCATAGAACCTCTCCAGGGTGTCCACGTTGTGGCACATGAATTTAGAGAGGTTCTCCCGCACCTCCGGGTTGTTCTCCTGAAAATTCTACAGCAAAGAAAATGAGACTTGCATCAGTATGAATACACGCGCATGAAATTGATTGTGTTTGGTGTTTTTGATACTCACGTAGGTGGACACAGCCGTTCGTATGTCCATGATGGTAGGGTACCCCTTGAGCCCATCTCTTTCCAGGCTTTGCTGAAATAACGGGCCATGTCTTTCGCCTCCCCACGGCCAAGAGACGGAAAAAAATAGCCGTTCCTGGCAACGGCTCTGTCTCTCAGCCTGAGCCAGGTCCGGAACCACAAAAATTCTTCGGGCTCTAAGTAGATTTGGGCAGTTCCGAATTTCCGGGCAGTCTTGTGCTCGAGGACCTGCAGAAGACCAAATATGACAGAAACCGGAGGGGTCAGTCAATGGTAAAAAAAATATTAAATTAAATTTTAAAAAGAACTTTGAAGACAACAGATTAGCCGGCGTTGAAAATATCATTAAAAGATCCCCAACATTCAAAAAAAAAAAAAACACCCAAAAGAGAAGCAGGTTAGCCCTTAAACAAAAGAAGAAGGTGAAATAAGGTCCAAAAAAAGTGTTGGGTTAGCAGAAAATGCCAAAGGTGCTTACATTGATTAGATAACCTGTCTGGTCATCACCTATGGCCTGCCGGACCTCCTTGACCCTCATGCGGGTGAGGACCCCCGTCCGGTGGCCATAAATACATCCTTCATGAAAATACTGCTGAAATCGTTTAACAGTAGTTGTAAATTAATTAAAATAACAGGTAAAAGGGACAACCAACCATGGATGACTAATGGGATTAAAAATGCATGTGCCAAAAAAAATTGTCTGTATACGAGATTCTTAAAGTTACAAACAAAGGAAGCCGAAGATAGATATAAAAAAATATAAAAATAAATTAGTAACAATAATTAGGAAACAGAAGAAAGAGTACTATCGTGAGCTATTGAATAAGAAAAAAGACAACATCAAGACTACAAGGGGAATAATAAATAATGTGATTAACAGAGATAATACAAATGCAAGACTCCCAAACTACTTTGTAAAGGACATAAAGACATTTATGAAGTTAAAGAAATTTCTAATGAATTCAATGATTTTTTTAATAAATGTAGGAAGGAGTCTGGTGGAAAGCAAACCAATAATTCATGATACAATGAATACAATACCTAGAAATGTCAATAGTATTCTGCTTGACAAAGTAGATCAACAAGAAATAAGAAACATTGTAAAAAACTGGGGAAGCAAAAGATCAACTGATTGTGATGATCTGGACATAGTGACTGTAAAAGCTATAATTGAATCTGTTATTGAACCATTCACTTACATCTGTAATCTGTCACTATCTACAGGAGTCTTCCCTGATTTAATGAAAATTGCCAAGGTGGTTCCATTATTTAAGAGCGGTGATAAACAGAGTTTCACTAATTACAGACCAGTGTCACTGCTTCCACAGTTTTCCAGAATATTAGAAAAAGTGTTTGCATTAAGGTTGGACAAATTCATTGACAAAAATTCAATTTTAAATCATGAACAGTATGGCTTTAGGACCAAACATTCAACAGCAATGGCAGTTATGGATTTAGTAGATACAATTTCATCAGCAATTGACAATAAAAACCATTTCATTAGTGTTTTAATTGACTTAAAAAAGGCATTTGATGTCATTGATCATTCAAGGTTACTTCTTAAATTACACCGGTATGGAATAAGAGGGGTGGCGCATCAATGGGTTAATAGTTATTTACGCAAATAGAAAACAGTTTGTTCAAATAAATAATGCAAAATCTGAATTAAAAGATATTTATTATGGTGTGCTACAAGGGTCAGTCCTCGGACCTAAACTGTTCATATTGTTTATTAATGACCTGGTAAATGTGTCGAATTTACTTGGCACAGTTTTATTTGCGGATGATACTACATTGTTTTATTCAGGATTAAATGCACATGAAGTAACTCAAGTGATAAACAGTGAATTGATTAAAGTTAAAAAATGGTTTGATATAAATAGACTGTCACTGAACCTGAACAAAACAAACTATATACTGTTTAATAACAGAAGAAGCTGTGATGTATCTTTACTGATAGATGGAATGGAAATTCAAAGAGTAAAAGAAACCAAATTTCTTGGAGTCATGTTCGATGAGAGTCTCATGTGGAAATCACATGTAGGTTATATAAAGGGGAAAATTGCCAAAGTCATAGGTGTATTATATAGAGTCAAGTTTCTACTAAATTTGTCGGGGTTGTTAACATTGTATAACTCACTGATTGAACCATATTTATTTTATTGTTTAGAAATTTGGGGAGCCACTTGCAAAACTTTTACACAACCATTGTTCATTTTGCAAAAAAGAGCATTGAGAATCATTAACAACAGTAACTATAGAGATCACACTGATCAATTATTCATTAGATACAAAATACTGAAATTTCCTGACTTGGTAGAGTGGAAAATATTGCAAATAATGTACAGAGCGAATACGAGTAATCTACCAACTAATATTCAGAAAATGTTTCATAAGAGAGTAAGTGGGTACATGTTAAAAGGAACTGATGTCTTTAAGAAACCTAGATTCAGAACCAAAGTGAGGGAATGTAACATTTCTGTAAATGGTGTAAGATTGTGGAATGCCATTAACAAGGAATTTAAAGAATCAACTACACTTGCTATATTTAAAAAATGTATAAAATCTAATGTATTTAGTAATTATGAAAAGGAGAATTATAATGTCAAAGATTAGACGTGAAAATATTAGAAAGTGACTGAGGTTACACTGTGTTTGTTTGGCGGATAATTTTATTTCGTAAAAAGGGGCAGAAATGATAAGATTTTTTCTTCTATCTGCTCCTTTTCATTCAAATGTTTTTTTTCAATATGTTAATGTATCCTGTATTTGTTTGTTTATTTTATACATTGTGAATGAAATAAAATATAACAAAAAAAAAAAAGACAGACAGGTAGGCTGCGAGGTAGCCAAAGAACCTGTACAGGGTATCTGCAGGTTTAAGGGAGCCAAATTTAAGACTTTTTAAGACCTTTTTTAAGGCCACTTTGACCAAATTTAAGCTATTTTTAAAATTAAATTTAAGCTATAAGTTCCAGCTATTGCCTGGAGCCGGTGCTAACCACATCGTGAACGTGGGATTAGCCATCCAGTTACCATTAAACTTGCACTTCCCCATGGCGCAAACTCCCACTAGCTTAACCAGCTAATGTGCTCATCTAAAAACAGCCCCCTTTCACAACCAACTGAATGTGTACGGTTCCGCCTACGCCAACATCGTACACAAAAAATGCTGAACACTAACTAGAAATTCACAAAAATTTCTATAGAAATAAAATAATCTTGTTTATTGGGTCTTTGGTAATTTAAGACCTTTGGAAACTGGATTTAAGGATTATTTGTCATTTTTAAGGATTTTCAAGGCCTTAAATTTGGAAAAGCAAATTTAAGACTTTTTAAGACTTTTTAAGGACCCGCGGATACCCTGCTGTAGCGGGTCTTGGGGTCCCTCGCCGGCGCCTTCTCAATGTCCTCTGAAACGACGGATAAAGATAGAAGAGAACGATGAGATTGGTAGATGCCGTGGCACCGCTGACAAAAGGCTTGCGAGAGGTGGAGAGGCGTGACGGACTCACCGAGCAGAGAGGGGATTTTCTCCCGAGCAAGGAGCTGGCAAAGGCAACCGAGCCTTTAAAAGTACCCCAAAATGGGCGTTCTCTTCTGAAGGAAGAACAGAATCCCAATTAGTTCAGTGAACGTGTGTTGTGGTGTGATAGCGATCTCATGATTTCAACTTACTCGGGTACTCTCCTCCGCCGCTCGAGACCCGGAGGCGGCAGTGGGAGGAGCAGGACCGGGACTGGCAGGAGCAGGACCGGGACTAGCAGGAGCAGGACCGGGACTAGCAGGAGCCTGTGGTTCAGCGGGTAAATGTGCGGGAGCAGCCGGCTCGTCTTTTGATGAGCCCCTCTCTTAGCGAGAGGCAGACAAAAAGCTGCCGGATCTCTCTTGCCCGGGAGACGTTCTTGTGTAAGGCATAGAACCTCTCCTGGGTGCCCACGTTGTGGCACATGAATTTAGAGAGGTTCTCCCGCACCTCCGGGTTGTTCTCCTGAAAATTCTACAGCAAAGAAAATGAGACTTGCATCAGTATGAATACACGCGCATGAAATTGATTGTGTTTGGTGTTTGTGATACTCACGTAGGTGGACACAGCCGTTCGTATGTCCATGATGGTAGGGTACCCCTAGAGTCCCATCTCTTTCCAGGCTTTGCTGAAATAACGGGCCATGTCTTTCGCCTCCCCACGGCCAAGAGACGAAAATAAATAGCCATTCCTGGCAACGGCTCTGTCTCTCAGCCTGAGCCAGGTCTGGAACCACAAAAATTCTTCGGGCTCTAAGTAGATTTGGGCGGTTCCGAATTTCCGGGCAGTCTTGTGCTCGAGGACCTGCAGAAGACCAAGTATGACAGAAACCGGAGGGGTCAGTCAATGGTAAAAAAAAATATTAAATTAAATTTTAAAAAGAACTTTGAAGACATCAGATTTGCCGGCGTTGAAAATATCATTAAAAGATCCCCAACATAAAAAAAAACACCCAAAAGAGAAGCAGGTTAGCCCTTAAACAAAAGAAGAAGGTGAAATAAGGTCCAAAAAAAAGTGTTGGGTTAGCAGAAAACGCCAAAGGTGCTTACATTGATTAGATAACCTGTCTGGTCGTCACCTATGGCCTGCCGGACCTCCTTGACCCTCATGCGGGTGAGGACCCCCGTCCGGTGGCCATAAATGACAGACAGGTAGGCTGCGAGGTAGCCAAAGAACCTGTAGCGGGTCTTGGGGTCCCTCGCCGGCGCCTTCTCAATGTCCTCTGAAACGACGGATGAAGATAGAAGGGAACAATGAGATTGGTAGATTCCGTGGCACCGCTGACAAAAGGCTTACGAGAGGCGGAGAGGCGTGACGGACTCACCGAGCAGAGAGGGGATTTTCTCCCGAGCAAGGAGCTGGCAAAGGCGGAGGTCCTCCTTGGACACCAGCTTGGAGACCTTTTTTTTGCTTGGTCAGCAGCTGGTGTCCCAGGACGGTCCGCCCGATGTCCCTGCTCAGCTTCTTGAGCTTGAGGACCAGGATTTTGGTTTGCCCACGGTGGAGCCGCGAGTGGCTGGGCAGCATGGCCCTGAAGTACTCCACAAATGAGACGGCCTGGCCCAAGTAGAGGCTGATGGTGGTCGGCGAAAGGCCAAATTTGCAGAGGACTGCGGGGTAGCTGTGTAAAGAACAGATTAAAAGAGTCGAGTGAGGTGGTGCTGAACGGGCGCACAGATAGAAGGCAGTGAGGTTAATTCTTTCCAAATGCACTACTTACGACTTCAGCAGGGGGATGTTGTACAGGAACTGCCAGTTCCAGGACGCAGGCGAGTCAGAGCCGAGCAAAAGATATTTCACAAAAACCTTTGCCCGGCTCAGCTTAGAAACTGCGTTCTCCTGCATTTTGCTCTTTCCCTTGGGGCAGAAGATAAAAGTGAAGTAATCCTCCAGGTAGGATTCTGTAAAGATGCAAGACAACGTGATGAGTGCCGCATGAAATGGCTCCATACACCTCCAAATACCCTATGTGTTGCTTCTTACCAATGGAGGTGCCCAAGGGAATGTTCCTCAGCTTGGAGGCCTTACTTTTCCCAGCCAAGCAGGGGGCCAAGCCTTGGAAGGCCGTCTCCATAGCGGAGAGCTTCTTCTTGGGCGACTTTTCCTAAAATAACAAAACAAAAAACATTAACCGCGTTAACACGTAGCTTCATTGGTTCTAAATTTTGTCAGCATTCATTAAATTACTGAACAACCAATCACTCTCACTCACGGTGTCAGAGAAAGCACGGGCAGAGGGAGAAGAAATTGCCTCCTTTGTCCTCTTGCTCTTTGGCCTCTGTTTCTGTCAGCTCCTGGGTAGAGACAAAAACAATCATGAGAACTGATCAAGTGACAAGCTTTGGCCAAAAAGTCAAAAAGATCATGGCACTGTAATAATTAACAACAAAAATATCTAGTAAGTGTGTTCTCACCTCACTAGCCGGGGAAAACGTTAGATTCTGTTTAGTCCCCCGTGTGTCCACCTCAGGCTGCTGCGGACTCCTCTGGGGCTCCGGGGGCTGGGCCTGGGGCTCCGGGGGCTGGGCATGGGGCTCCTCGCTCTTCTCCTCTGAGGAGGCGGTAGGGGAGGCGCGCGAGGGGGCGGAAGCCGAGGCGCGTGACCTACGGCGCTGTCCCTGCCCCTGCTCCCGCTGTTCTTCGCCCTCCTCGTCCGCTGATGAGGAGCTGGAGCTCGAGGGGAGCGGTAGGGGAGGAGCTCGAGGGGAGCGGTAGGGGAGGTGCGCGAGGGGGCGGAAGCCGAGGCGCGCGACCTAAGTCCCTGCCCGTGCCCATGCCGCGGTTCCGGCGGAGAGGAGGCCTGTTGCGGCTGGAGCTGCTGCAGCTGCCTCTGCATGGGGAAAAAAGAGTGGTTCTTGCTAAATATGCCTTACCTAATTGACCTTACAGCACTGTCATTAGATTACCAGTTTAACATAACAGCCAACTTTTCGTTCACTCACCTTGGCATCCGCCAGAGCGCCCTGGAGAAGGTAGACCTCATTGGTTAGGTACGTGGCCCGGGTCCTGCAAGCAGGGTTGGCGCAGGTGTTTCCCTCGCCTGCCGCCAGGTCACCGTCTAGGTCCAGTGTACTGACCATGGGAGGCTGGGGGTCAGTGGCCCGCAACTCCCTGAGGAGCTGCAAGGCCACCTTCCTCTTCAGGTCAAGCTTTACCTTCCGCTGCCTCCTCTGTGTCAGCTCCTTGTGGGTGTCCAGGTGCTTCTCAACATGAAGCAGGTATGGGACGCAGTTCAAAGTTGGACAAGGACCGGGAGGAGTATTATGGAATGAAACCAAAAGGTGCATTTGAGGGTGGAAAACGTTTCTTCTGCATTGTTGTGTTTGTTTGGGAGAAAACTTACAAACATACAGTACAGCACTTCAGAGTTACACTGCTAGCGATCGAAGATTTATGTAAATTCGACAAGCTAAACACATTCTGTACTGTACAGCAGCATTCCCCAACCTTTTTTGCACCACGGACCACTTTAATGTCAGACAATATTTTCAGGGAACGACCTTTAAGGTGTCACAGATAAATACAACAAAAGAATAAAAAAGAAACTGTGGTATTTTGTAAATATAATAATAAACGTGACTTGAGCTGTGCGCCAACAACGACAGTGACATCCTCCTCTCTGCTTCTTAATGCTCTCTGGTCGTTATTGTAACGCGTAAATAGTTCTTTCAAAATAAGACATACAAGTACAACCATACATTTCACACCAGAGCCTCAACTCTCGCGGAACGGTACCAAAGGACTCACGGACCGGTACCGGTCCGTGGGCCTATTAGGGACCACTACCGTACAGGAGACACTGGACTAGATTGATTGACAATGGTCTACAGCAATCAGAACGCATAACACGATGTACTGTAAAAAAATAAATAAATCAGTGAAACAGTGAGTGTCACAGAAGGTCCGCCGCGAGGAACCACTGTACACTTTTGGCCACGAACAATTTAGGGGATGGTGAATTTTTTGGAACAAACCCAGAGTGTTAACCCCCCCTTAAAACCATTTTTATTTCTCCGTAGCATCAATAGTAACAAAAACGCAATTTAGTTTTCGCTGTCAAAGTGCAATGCTATAGTGATTAGTTTAAGTTTTTTATGTGTGATGAAGGATTTTTGTTATTTAGAATATTTTTTATATATTCTGTTCATATATTATTCTTTATATTTTTTTGTATATTTGATTCTATATATTTTTGATACATTTGCATACATAATGTATATAGTTTTAAATTCTGATAACTTAATGGTAATTAATGTAAATATGTGTAATTTAGAAAAATTTATGTTCTGTTTTCGTTCTAATAAAACATGCCTTTTTTAGAAATGAATACAGTCGTATTACTGTGTGCATGCGAAGTGTGTGAGTTTCTGTGTGTGTGTGTGTGTGTGTGTGTGTGTGTGGAGGGGGGGGGGGGGGGGGGGGGGCTCAAGGGATGTCTCGCCCGGGGAGTAATTCCATGTAGAACCACCACTGCAGCTAACCCCTTTCTTGACATTGGGGTGTATGGTGCATGTACTATTTAAATAACTCTAACTTGCTCAGTTTTCAACTGATTTTCAAAATGTTTGATTTGTTCTAAACACCAGAGATGTGTCTGTGAAATAGGATGGGTTTGGCCCAGAAAATCCTGCTATTTCACTCCACAAAGCATTTAATCTTTCATAGATAACACATTTAATGGTAAGCTGCAGTAACTTAAAGTATACAAAGCTATACATACATACGTATATGTGTGTGTATATATATATATATATATATATATATATATATATATATATATATATATTAGGGCTGGGACTTGATTAAAAATTTTTATCTAATTAATTACAGGCTTTGTAATTAATTAATCTAAATTAATCGCATTTTAATCGTTCAGGAAAATGTGCTCTCAAAGTAAAACTTTTAATTAAAATTATGAGACAGAGAATCAAACATTAGACATGGTTATTACTGTAAACTAAAGCTTTTAATAAAAAAATGCATTTTAATTATTCAAATATCACTGTGTGATATGAAACCCTAACCCTAATCAACTAAAATTTATAATTACACATAGAAAACACCTGCAAAGGGTTCCTGAGCCTTTAAATAGTCTCTCTGTCTAGTTGAATGACTGAAATTAATTTGACTTTGCACCAGATTCTAATTTTTCCAGTTTCACTTGTTTGTATAATTGGGAGTTTTTATTAGCATTTCTACTCACACTGCAGTAAAAACACACATAAATAATAATCCTTCAAAATGACAGTAGAACAGGCACAAATATGATCTAGGACTTAAATGAACTAACTTTTAACACCAGAGCAGGCGTGACATATTCTGAGAATGATCAGTAACACTAACTGGTTCCAGCTGGATGACTGGAGGATGATGGGAAGATAAAAGATCATGGCGAGGAAATAATGATCTGACGAACAGGTGAGCGGACCTTCCTTACATGGGAAGTCCTGCTGTCACGTTAAAGAGCAAGTCACCCCCAAATAAACTTTTTTTGCTGATAAACTAAATAAATGTGTGTCTAATCCTGAGCTCCTTCAAAAGAATCTCCTACCATCTTTATGCAGATGACATCCAACTGTACATCTCCTTCAAGCCCCATGAGATGTCTAAGCTGCAGCGGTTACACACCTGCTTAGACTCTATCAAAACCTGGATGGCTGGGAGCTTTCTACAGCTGAATGAAGATAAGACTGAGATCCTTATCTGTGCCCCAGACAAGCTGGTTCCCAAAGTGAGAGACTCTCTGGGTCAGCTAGATTCTCACACCAAACCTTCAGTCAGGAATCTTGGCGTGACCTTTGACCCAGCTCTCACCCTGGATTCTCATGTCAGTTCTCTTGTTCGCTCTTCCTTCTTTTATCTCAGGAACATTGCTAAGCTGAGTCCCATTCTGTCCCGCTCTGAACTTGAGACAGTTCTTCACACCTTCATCTCCTCACGCTTAGACTACTGTAACTCTCTTTTCACGTGTCTGAGCAGAACCTCCCTGAACCGTCTACAGGTGGTTCAGAACGCCTGTGCTCGGCTTCTGACCAAGTCCTCCAAACACACCCACATCACCCCGCTTCTCCTCCAGCTTCACTGGCTGCCAGTCAACTTCAGGGTTCATTTCAAGATCCTGGTTCTGATCTATAGGGCCTTACATGGACAAGCACCATCTTACATTGGTGATCTTCTTAGTCCCTACACCCCCAGCAGGTCCCTGAGGTCCAGTGACCAAAGCCTACTGGTTGTGCAGCACCAGGCTAAAGACCAAAGGTGACAGATCATCTGCTGCTGTGGCCCCCAGACTCTGGAACTCTCTCCTCCTGAGCCTGAGATCAGTGGACTCAGTGGACTCCTTTAATAAGCAGCTGAAGACTCACTTGTTCAAGCTGGCTTTTGTATTACCTTCTTCACCTCTCTCTCTTTATTCTGCTCTCCCCACCTATTCCACCTTCCTCAGGAACCACTGATTTCCCTTTTTCCTATTCTCGCTCTCTTTCTTAACATTTTTTTTATCACAATTGTCTCTTTTTGCTAATTTTAAATATATTTTTAAACATTTTATAAATGCTTTTTTATATTTTTACATTTTTATTTATTTATTTTTTGTTTTTGTGAAGCGCCTCGTGATTTTTATCTTGAGAGGCGCTATAGAAATGATATTTTCTTCTTCTTCTTCTAATCATGCTGCAGACACATTTAGTCAATAATTTGGCACTTCAGTGCATCTTAGTTAAAATTTAAATATTCTGCCTAAAACTGGCAGTGTTGTGCCGTTGTCAGGTAAAAACTCTGCACTGTAGTTTAATTTAAATCTGCCACAGCTATTGGCTAAGAGGTATGCTATGATGTAAACTGGTACATTATGATGTCACCATGCTGTCGTGAGCCTGTGTGTGTGTGTGTGTGTATTTGTTAGCAGCTCCGCTTTCTCAGTCTGCCAGGCAACAGCATTTGTTGCATTTTTCAAACATGAAGTGAGAGTGGAGTTAGACTCCGGTAGGGATTGACTTGCTCTTTAAGAAGGGGATGCTGCAGACCCGCAGATTCAGCAACAGCGAATCTGGTGTGATCTCCAGCCTGATCACAACTTTCTCATTCCTCGCTGCCCCTGATGCACTTGAGCATCCGCCCCTTAGTTGGTGACAGCTTCAACACACCTTGTTGCTTAATGATAGTAATGCATGTGATGTTTAGACAGTGACTCGTCTCAGAAACATAGAATTCCCCGACAGCATTGTTAAGAAAATCATCAGAAAAGTTGAGTGTTTCTGTTTTAAGTAAATTTTTGAGCTCTATCTGCCACATA